TCGCCACCACTGTCCCCGCTGGTTCCACCACCGCCCCTACCGTCCCCACCAGTGCGCCACTGTCGCGCTGTCCCCACTGTCCCCGCCACTGTTCCCACCGCGGTTCCGCTCTCCCCACTGTCTCCACGGCCCCAACCACTGCCCGACTATCCCCGCTGTCCCCACTGTCCCACTGACTCCTCCGCTGTCCCAACGAGCTGTCCCCCTGTTCCCGCCGCTGTCCCCGCTGCCCCCGCCACTGTCCCCGCTGTTCCTCTGTCCCATTGTCCCACCGCCGTCCTCGCCACCGCCTTCGCCACTGCCCCCGCCACCATTGCACCCTCCGCTGTCCCACTGTTTCCACCTCATTCCCACAGTCCCCACGCCGCTGTCCCCTCCGCCACCGTCCCCACCACTGTCCACTGCCCCCCCTGTTCCCACCATTGTCCCTACCACTGCCCCCACCACTGCCGTCCCTGCCGCTGTCCCGCTGCCCCGCTGCCCCCACCGCTGCCCCGCTGTCCCCTCGCCACTGCGCCCGCCAACGCCGCCCCCGCCGCTGTCCGCGCCCCCGCTCGGTTTTCGAAAGGGGGGGGGTTCGAACCGGTAGCGGCCTCCCCCCCTCGGTTTTCGAGGGGTGGGGGGGTCGAAACGGCGGTGACCCCCCCCCCCCCCCATCCTTTTCATGATGAGCTGGGGGGGGGGGGGGGGTTCGAACCGGCAGCGGCCCCCCCGGTTTTCCGGAGGGGGGGGGGGTCGAATCGGCAGTGGCCCCCCTCCGGTTTTCCGCCAGCAGCGGTAGAACACGTTCTTTCATATGTATATATACCTACTCATGCTTACATGCATATGTATAATTGCATGCTTTTATGTGCATATGCACATCTACAACTGCCGTATAAGCATATCCATGTGTGTACACAATACAAATACATACATGCATATACATACACAGCCACGGGATCATCATATTATGCAACGCGCTACGCGCTTCCTCTGACATAGCTACACATATTTTCGTCGTGTGTAGCATAGTCTCGTTTACAGCCTGCAATCCAGAAAAGCTGCGCTGATGATTGTCAGGGTGTTCGACGACCAGTCTGCACCGACGCTGGCCTTCGGGCTCGCCTGAGTTTTCATTATCCTGATGCGGGTTGCCCCGCGGCCGTTTCCTTCTTGGCGACCCTGTCGGACATCGCGGGCGAGGGCGCTGCGCGCCGCTTGAGCGGGCGCGCGAGTACCTGCGCGAATGGCTCCGCAGGTGATAGCGTGGCGGATTGATCTCAGCTCCCAATTCCCCGTCGCCGCTGCCGCTGGCGCGCACCGCGCGCCAGGCCTCGCGGCTCGAAGAATGGTCATGTAGCACAAAAGTGAAGTGAGAGCCTTGTGTCCGAGTTCGCACTGGGTCCGCTCAGAAAGGTCGCCGACGTCGCGCGGGTTGCCCCGCGGAGGATCGTCGTCGCAAGTTACTCTGCACGCGGAGTTCCCAATTGCCTGCGGTCGGAGCGATCGTCGGAGCTCCTCCTCCTCCTCCTCCGTAGATGGTATCGTTTCATCGTCAGAACTATCCGGCTCGTGCCCGTCGGAGCGTGCAGGTGCCCCCGCCGCGTCGCAATCCGAGTCGGCGGGCGGCTGGAACTCCTCCATGGCCCCCACGCGCGCAGGTTGCCCCGCGAAAGAGGTGCCCGGCCAGTCTGCGAGATCGATCTCATCGCGACCAACGTAGATCTCCTCGAAGAGCTCCTCGGCGCACCTCTCGAGGGACACGATGGCGCCCGTGTGCCTCGCGGACGTGAAATTGGCAGCGGCTGCGGGGTTGTCTTCTTCTTCGGCAAGAAGGGTTACCCAATCGACATGCTGGATGTCGGAATCAGTTTGAAGCAAATGCATCGACGGACCCCTGCCTCCCTCGTCGCCTTGGCGGCGCTCGCGACGAAAATGCTGGGGTGATATTGCAAATGCCACATTCCATAGTTTCCCTGTTGGCATCCTTCCGGTTACCCCGACTTTCCTTGCCTTTTCCTGAGGTGCGCCCACGGCCTCTAGCCTTCCCCAAGAAGATTTCCTCATGCTGTTGCCCCGTAAGGGAGGCCAATCATGTTGGCATGCCTCCACCATGTAGCCGTCGGCGTATATCCTTATCTCTACCCTTATCCTTCGACAGAAAAAAACACGTCGAACTGCGCGTCGCACCCTTCAAACTGGTTTCTTCGTAGAACGTCTCCATCGGCGCGTGTGCTTCTGCAAGGAATATCCACTGCGCCTGCTGCTCTTCAGTGAGATGCGCGGGCATGTCGGAATAATCCACGTTACCAATTCCTTCCTCTGACGAGGTGTCAACGTCGGCGTCGGAATCAAATTCGGACTCTGCAGGTTTCCCCGTCGAGCTCACGAGGGCAGTGGCATGGGTAGGGGCCGCCGTTGCCGACGGTTAATGATATCGAACCCTGGGGTCTTGCGACCCCGTGGGCTGGCCACCGCGCTGGCTCAATAGAGTGGTGGCCTCGTTGACATGTGCATCGTCATTCCAAACGTTGCTGGCAGGTTGCCCCGCATGAGCGTCGCCATGAAAGACATCAGCGCCGTGGCCGCGGCTAAATGCACCACCAATGTTGCCGGGGGTTCGCTCGGCAATATGGGCGTAAACCCTCGTGCGCTCCAGTCCGTGGCATTTGGCGGCTCAGCGGTTGCAATAATTGCTGTGCGCGCCAAGTGCCGACATCTAGGGCTCTGAACCGTATGACTGTCAGGATCTGGAAGCTTGGGATGTTGAGCCCCACGGTGTGAGCTCCGAAGCGTGCAATTTCGAAGCGGGCCAATGTCTGCTCGATCCTTTCTCCCGCATGGGCGCGAAAGTCAATGATAGCCGTCCCCGAGTTAAATATCGTTCCTCTTCCAGGTTCTCAAACTTAGTGCTGAAGGTGAATATTATGGAGGTGACGCCGTCGGTGTGGCGACCACCAATGTTGCCACCAAAATTGATTACTGCGGGGGGGGGCTCTCATGGCTATGGTCCTTGCGAGATTTGTTGGGAAGGAATCGTAGCGCCTGTGGATATATTGATCCAGGCATGTACTTCGCGAACAAACTCGCGCAAAAATGCATTCACGGAGGGGCCCCAATGGGGGCCGGTAGTGCGTGCGTCGTCACCTCCACGTTGCATCTGTCCAACAGCGCATGGCTGTTGTTTGTGAGGTGACGTTGCCGTTAACTTGCGTGGAGGTGGAGGCGGTGTGAACCTATCGCATGTTACCATGCATGGTATGTTCGAACAAATTGCCACGTGGCGTAGGTGGGTGGACGTCAGGAGTGTAGCAGCGCAGAAAAGTAGGGCTCAAGTGCGGGACTTCTGCGTGAGCAGAGGCAGCAGTGCAAGTGTCATTGCGATGGTGTTCCTCCGCGTAGACCCATTCCACCCTGATGTTCCACCATGTCGGTCGTCCACCGGACAGTGCCGTGGATAGTAATGAGTACAGCTAGAGCTGACCACCAACGGCCAGCTCCGCTACCAAGTTTGAAGCTGGCCTCCCCAACTCTGTTGTACTGTATCAGCGACAGCCTCAGAAGTAGGAAGGAGCCGCGAGAGCGGCGATACATCTCAAAGTAAAGCTGATGCCATGATGCCTTTCTGTCCCGATGTACGGTGCTGCGCCTCAAAGAGGCACAGTCAAGCAGGTGGCCAGTCACTGGGCCGAAATGGCCGCGGACAAACGCTCGGTACATCTCGCATTTGCCCTTTCTCTTTTAGAGTCAACCTAGAGGTCCGAGGATCCCGAGGAACGGCCCGCATAACCAGAGGCCCCCCTCCGAACAAATAGTAGTCCTGTATTTCAGCACCTTGGCTGCACATGCATGTGAAACGATGCGTTTAAGAAGAAGCCAGGACGAGAATGACATCGGGAGAAGATAGATCCGCCGACCCCCTGTGGGTCCCTAGGCGTGTAAGACTGCTTCCCCCCATTATTCCCCCATCGACCCCCCCATCATAGGCGGACTAGAGGGCTCCCCGACGACCCAAGAGGGCTACAATATGCACCCCAGAAGGTCCAAGAAGGCCTCGAATCGCTGCAAGATCGTTCCAAGACGAGCAAGACGGCCTCCAGGCGGCCCAAGATGCCCCACAAAACAACCCCAAACCCATCCTCTCGCTTTAATCTACATCACTATCACCCAGGGCGCAATAAAAAACATAGGCAACAATATACACTCCAGGGGAGCGGCGGATGCGACGCAAACCTACAAAACAATGATTGCCCCCCCCGTCGACCGCAAGTACAGCTGCGCAGACATGACAGTACTGCTGCGCAAGTGGTGCCGCGCGAAACTGTCGCCACTTTTCGCACAATTCCCGCACGCTTCGTAGCCCCATGGAAAAGTCTCGTGAAGGCCCCAGTGGCTCCGCACGCATGGCGCCGCTGCGTCCGAACGGGGTCCTTCCTGGACCACGTGACAGGAAAGCTGCAGGGGCCAACGGGCGCAGGAGGAATGCTAAGCAACGGCCAAATGCCAAGGTACCAGGCCAACGCGCCCGGGTGCTGGATGCGTCATCGTTTCACCAGAACGTGAGGGGATGCGGGTTTCTTAATCGCTTCCCACGGTTAATAAGTGACCCTATGCAAACATGACCTTTGATGCGCGATTTTCGGGAGCAGTGGGGAGGCCGAGGTGGAGCGCGCAAGCCGCTGCTATCGCATCGCATTCAGCCGTCCGGGGACTCTGATGCCGGCACTGAGGCGAAACGTCACCATCACGTATGTAGAATCAATGTAGAACGACAACAAAACATACGTAAACATTAACTTTCGGGAGTCTGCGCGGACCTCCGACAGTTTTCTGTATGCATTGTTCTACTATTCGAGCCGCGACAAGGCTGGGACGAAAAATGCTGCCGGCCCAGGAGGCGTCCCAGGCTCTCCTGCCCGTGTGGAGCGTGAGGACGTCCTGGAAACCCAGGGGGGCCCTGGAGATCTTGGAACGTGCCGCTACCCTGACTTCTCGCTCCCCTGCAGGGCGGCCACCGCCTCGCCCGCGCGGCGAGCTGGTGCTCGTCACGGACGCCTGCTCCGACCCCGACCGCTCCTGCCGGCGGGCCGCGGCGGCGGCGGCGGCGGCGGCGGCGAGGGCAGCGGCGCGGCGCGAGCGCGGCTGCGAGAGCCGGCGGCCGGGCCGCTGCGGGTGCGGCTGCGGGCATCCCGCGGTCAACGATGCCTGGCCGCGGCTGCGGCTGCGGGGGCCCGCGGCCGAGTTGCGGCTGTGGGTGTGGTCGCGGGCGCCCGCGGCCGGAATGCGGCTGCCGGGGCTGCGGTTGCAGGCGCTGGCGGCCTGAAATGTGTTGCCCGGTTGCGGGTACGGCCCCTCGACCTTTCCGTTCACGTCAATGAATCAAAGCATCAAATCATCAGACTGCACCCGCCTCCGCCGTCGAGCGAGTCCCACCGACATTGTGCTCTGCTTTTGCGAAAGGGAAGGGGGCATCGTGATTCGCCGTGGGCGTCTCTGGTATCACACGAAGAAACAACATCTGGCATGCCATTGTTCGAGGAAGGACATCTACCGGAGCACGCTATCGCCTCGAACGACCGTTCGAGCGGTCTGGCTCTCTGACATCGCCCAACGATTCCCAACGCTGCCCAAAAGATTCGACAATGCTGCCACCCAGAGGCCCCCGAGGGGTACCAAAAGAGGGCAACAACACACATCAAATACATGGCAAGTCCGTGTCGTGACGACACGTGCGTGGGTCTCTGACACCGCGTGGATCACGTAACCTTGGACGATCGCGGCTTTTTGATAGCGCAGATCGTCTGATGTCGACCGATTCTGGGCCACTGGCGGTGTTCAACCTGAAACGCCGCGCTTCGTCGCTGCGTATGCCATAGCAGGGCCGCGCTCAGTGTTGCGATACAGCTTCCCCAAAGCGTGGTGGTGGACACCCACGGCCTGAGTATCGGAGCTGTGGGCCATTTGTAGCTTGACGGTGTTTGGTGACTGCACGCGGCGGCTTTTGCTCCTCACAGAAAACAAGGGACAAAAATGGCCATCAGTGCACTGGGCGTGGCTGGCCGAGTGGGCACCGCAAGGCAAAAGGACTCACCACGAGTGGCAAAAGAGCATTCGCATCGCACAGAGATGCAATCATAATTGAAAGGCCTCCTGGCCGAAACAGGCCCTTCTCGCTACGCAGAGCAGTCCGGGAGGAAGAAGCGCCCATCGACAGACATATGACTTATGCAGGCTACACTGCCCTGGAAACATCGCCAGCTAATGTATGAGCGGCCCAGCCCAGTCCTGGACGCCCATCCTTGCGCTATCTCACAGAGTGTTTGGCATCATCCGATGCGTGGCGCTCCACGTTCTTTTGCAATCAATCATTGCTCCGAATCTTCGCCTCTCAGCTCTCTCTCGTAATCCATAATGTCTGTCTCACCAGCCTCGGCAGTCACCACTTTCTTGTCATCCTTTGGTGTCTGGGGTTCGCCATCGAAGGGGTCACTGAACCTGGCCTCGGCAGTCCCCGCCTCCTTGCGACCCACCAGTCCCAAATTGGCATGTTGCACTGTCTTGCTCCCCGCCTCGGCGGAATCGCTGTCCCGGGCCTTGCCAATCTCCACCTCCGGTGCCGCGTGACCGACCTGCTGCGCTGCCTGGGGCTGCGCCTGGACGGGGCCGCTGTCGTTCGCCCTGCTGTTCTCTGCGCCTGCGCGAGGTGCTCGGAACCTCCTCGTCGCTCCTTGGAAGAAGTGCTGGATCCTCCGCGCGATCTCCTTCATGTGACCATTCTTCTCCTCGGGCGCCAGCGCCTGAGCGCTTTTGAGCTCGTCGGGCTTCTTTTCCACCTCGGCGCTCACAATGTGTCCCACGTCGATGGAGTCATCGATCCCGTGCTGCTTGGCGGTCACCACCTCCGCACCATTCACCACTCCCGGTTCGGCACGCTCCGCCGCCTCTAGAGGAAAATCGAACGCCATGACCATAAACTGTCGACGGTCCTCGCAGATGTTCCCTCCCTCGCGCGAGGAGCGCGCCAGGGGCGGCGCTGGAGGCGCCGCCAGGGGTGTCCAGCGTGGATCCAAGAAATTCGTGCAGAGCTCTAAGAAATTATGTTTATGTTGTTTCTTGTTCTTCGAACCCTCCTCCCTGGCCCCCCCCTTCCCCCCTCCTCCTCGTCGTTCTCTTCGTCCATCCAAGACACCCGCGCCTCGGCCTCCGCTTCGAGGGGGTCGCTGCCACCGGCCAGGGCAGCCTCCGCCCCGAGGCCCTGGTCCTATGAGTAGGGAGTTGACTACATAGTGATTTACCTCAGAGATGGTTTATGCTCCGTAGATCTACGGATCATGAGATGTCTGTTTCGTAGAATAAGACGGTCAATTAATTCTCTTGGGTAAATCAAATCTGTAGTCGATCCCCTACTCGAGTCCTGGCACGCCAAGCCGAAGAGCCAGCAGTAGGTGTCCTCACAACTGCGCTCGAGGGCCTCGGGCACGTCGCTGGCGAAGCCGTAGCAGCGGCCCCTCGCGGACGAGCCTAATCAGAGGAGCAGCAACACGCGGCAAGTCACCTAACCTCGCGCACCGTGCTCCCGGAGGCGCGCCGCGCGATTATCTTCGCGCCCTCGCGCTGTTCCTTTGGAGAAAGGCAACCGCTTTGGCCGAGGCCACGCCGCATCTTCGCGCCGCCGCTGGCGATTCAGGTAAACAATAACATTTCGGAGGTCCGCGCAATTCTCTTGGATCTGCGCCGACCGCCCCCCCCCCCTCCTCCCTGGCGCAGAGCGCGCCAAGTGGCCGCGCCGCAGAAGCTGCCAGGGGGCCCGGCAGCTAGTCATGATAAGAGCATAACAACTACGATTGGTACTCGGCCCAATGGATGGTAAAGTTCGGCTTCGCCGCCCCCGACCGCCGACCAAACATGTCTTGGCAGGAAAAAAACAATTATCCCGGCAAAGCAACCTAACAGCGATGTGTAGGAGCATCAGATGAGAATCCAGTGTTCTCGCAGTCGTAGTCGCATTCGCGATGACAGTCGCAGTGGCAACGGCAGTCGCAGTCACAGCCTCAGCCTCAGCCTGCCTCAGCCTCAGCCTCAGCCTGCCTCAGCCTCAGCCTGCCTCAGCCTCAGCCTCAGCCTGCTTCAGCCTCAGCCTCAGTCTGCCTTCAGCCTCGGCCTCAGCCTCAGCCTGCCTCAGCCTCAGCCTGCATCAGCCTCAGCCTCAGCCTCAGCCTGCCTCAGCATCAGCCTGCCTCAGCCTCAGCCTCAGCCTGCCTCAGCCTCAGCCTCAGCCTGCCTTCAGCCTCAGCCTCAGTCTGCCTTCAGCCTCGGCCTCAGCCTCAGCCTGCCTCAGCCTCAGCCTGCATCAGCCTCAGCCTCAGCCTCAGCCTGCAGCGCCTGCCTCAGCCTCAGCCTCAGCCTGCCTCAGCCTCCTCAGCCTCAGCCTGCCTCAGCCTCAGCCTCAGCCAGCCTCAGCCTCAGCCTCAGCCTCAGCCTCAGCCTGCCTCAGCCTCAGCCTCAGCCTCAGCCTCAGCCTCAGCCTGCTTCAGCCTCAGCCTCAGCTGCCTTCAGCCTCAGCAGCCTCAGCCTCAGCCTCAGCCTGCCTCAGCCTCAGCCTCAGCAGCTCAGCCTCAGCCTGCTTCAGCCTCAGCCTCAGTCTGCCTTCAGCCTCAGCCTCAGCCTCAGCCTCAGCCTCAGCCTCAGCCTCAGCCTCAGCCTCAGCCTCAGCCTCAGCCTGCAGCATCAGCCTGCCTCAGCCTCAGCCTCAGCCTGCCTCAGCCTCAGCCTCAGCCTGCAGCCTCAGCCTCAGTCTGCCTTCAGCCTCGGCCTCAGCCTCAGCCTGCCTCAGCCTCAGCCTGCCTCAGCCTCAGCATCAGCCTGCCTCAGCATTCAGAATGTGGCCCGGGAATGAGTTCTGGGAACTCGAAGAACACGAAGTGGCCTACAGTTGGCTCTGGGCATTCAAAATCATGCCCAGGAGTGGAGTTCTGGGAACTCGAAGACCACGAAGTGGCCTACAGTTGGCTCTGGGCATTCAAAATCATGCCCAGGAGTGGAGTTCTGGGAACTCGAAGACCACGAAGTGGCCTACAGTTGGCTCCGGGCATTCAAACTCATGCCCAGGAATGGAATTGTGGGAATTCGAAGACCACGAAGTGGCCTACAGTTGGCTCCGGGCATTCAAAATCATGCCCAGGAATGGATGGAGTTCTGGGACCTCGAAGACCACGAAGTGTGTAACTGTTTGCTTAAAACGACTTCCGCGGCTTCTCCCCGGCACCCGCCCAGACCCCCCTGGGGAGTCAAGATGCTCTCTTTTGACACTGCTAGAAACCTATCAGTCTTCGCTGTTAGGTAACAGTGGGCACTCAATGGGGTGGTACATAGGATTGGGGCCCTCCCCACTTTAAAACCATAAATCACAATGCCTGTGTTGTTTCTTCTGTACTCTTTTCTCTGACTCTCTGTCTCTCTCCCCTCTTTCATTGTGCTTCTCCTTCTCCTCCTCTTCTCTCTCTCTCTCTCCTCTTCCTCATCTCTCTCTCCTCCTTCTCTCTCCCCTCCTCCTCCTCCTCCTCCTCCTCCTCCTCCTCCTCCTCCCCCTCCGCCTCCTCCTCCTAGCTGGCGTTTGGCAAATGTCGACCACACCCCAATCGGACTGAACAGTTTCTACTTTCCGCTCAACACTAGCTACGCAGGCCCATCTGAGGGCCAGGGGGAAGGGGGATGATGCACTAACTATGCACCTCCTGCGATCGAGAAAGGGACGACTACAGGATACGGTGCTTCTCCTGCTGGCATTGAGGATAGCGTGCTACAACCCACTGGTCGCGAAGTCCAACGACCGACTGAAGACATCAGCTCGGAACTACAAGAATCGGACATAACTCTTCTTTCGGACACGCACACATGGGAGGGCCCCGAGCCGCATTGCAGTGCGCCACGTTCGACCCATAACTGAGGCATGCAGTTTGGGGGACAGGAAGGAAGATGGATCAGTAAAGTATGTGGGACGCCAAGAATATTGTTGAACGACATTTTCGACGAACGACACGTGCGAAGCATTGTCGCCCACCCCCAACTGAAATATAGGGGAGCGTCAGTGGGCTTCGCATAGCGAACAAAGGATATGACATAGCGGCATGTTCAATTTACCTGCCACCTACGCACTGAAAACACTGCGGGGTGATTCGCAACAACGTGACCAACTGGTTGGATAATGCATGTGACGGATTAAGCACGAAACCCACTCTAGTGATAGGGCGGACCCGAATACACACTTTGTTATTCACAATGGGTCAAAGGGGAAACTAGCGCGCACAATGAACACATCTGTGGGGAAGCATTGCAACGATATAGAGAACGAAACGATACAGCTATCAGAAACTTGCGAAGGGAGTGACCTGGCCGTAGCTGTGACATACCACGACTGCGGACCAGCCTATTATTCGGCCAAGGGCGCAGGTAAAACAAAAAACCACGTCCTGATCCCCAGAAGAGCCCTCCCACTGGTTCAGAAGGGCACCGTCTTCTTTCGGACGACCTCGGTCACCGCGGTGACAGGCCTACAACTAAGAAGAAAGGGGGGTGGACAGCTATACGCGCGTCCGCTTTTCATGCTTCGATCGACAAGTAAATCGTGAAACAAACGAGACAACGTCGTCTAAGGCGACGGTCTCGGCGATGAAAGATGAGACCGGCGATTCGAAATATATGCCGCGAAATGCCACGGGAAAAATGTGACGATGCCCGTGTTGGACCACAACGGCTTCGACAACCCAAGCGGCCGCCGAACAGCGTCCGTGTCGGCTGCCACCGTCGGAATGGCATATGAAACTCGCCATGGAGGCAGAAATCTGTCACTGCTGGCGTAACCTCCTTCGTCCAACTACGACCGATGTCCATTGTAAAATTGGCCTAGAAGTCGGGCATCTTGTTGCAATCGCTCTGTTGCCACACGACTGGGTCCGCAGTGCGCGAGGCTGGTGTCCAACCGTCTGAAACATGTTGAAAATTGTAGCCGTCATTCTTTCGAAGGCTGGGGACAGCGAGGCGTCCCGGAGCGGAGCGTGTCCACAAATAGCCTCCGCAAGCGGCTTACAGTCTACAACAAAAGCCAGGCAATTGCATTCACGCCAAAAAACAATGGGAGGGCAACTCAGACCATGTGAGGCGGGGCAATGTTCCAACTTGTCGCTGCCGCTCTTGATCCGCTTGGCACCACGTGGTCCGGCAGAGGGATCTTCTTCAGCCCGCGCACGCGCGGGCCCAGGCAATGTCCACAGCGTACAGACTGTACGAACGAACTGCGGGCGCGAGGCCCTCCATGCCTGTAAATCCAGACATGCGTCTCGCAAGGACCGCCACGTAGCACCCAGCGCCAAGCAGAAGACATCCTCCCATTCGGTGCGGTAGCCCATGCCGTTGTGCACTATGCCTTCTGCTCGCCGTCGCCCTGCTAGACGTTTGTCCTTGACGGTCTCCCAGAATGCCCGGTCACGGTAGAAACGGGGGCAAGAAGGTTGAAGGAAGCGGGTGAGCAGAACTGTTTCTCCCCCCATGCGTGATCGGAGACGAAATGCAGCATTATGTGGTGTATCTGCTCGAAGCCTCCTGCAACGAACCATCGTTTGATCATGAAGGAAATGCGGCCGTTGTAAGACAGGAGGCTTTCTTCTGGCCGGCGCCGCAACTTCAGGCCTTTCCGTAAAAGCCGTAGCTCCCACCTGCGCGCCTTGACTAGAACATGCTTGGTAATGTGCCAGTTGGCGTAGTCGAATAGCGAAGATGCCACTGGGCCGACAGTCCACGTCTTCAGTTTGGCTGCGATTGTTGCCCTGCGAAGGGCACCGTCCTCAGGGACATAGCTAAGCGGTTACAACGAATAAAGAAACAAGGCCATCGAGACCATCTCGCAAAAGGCATAATCTTAGCGACCTCGTCAGCTACCAGGCACCCACCGTCCGCGCACCTGCGGAAACTGCTGGGCATCTACAACTGGACCTCAACAAGTTGACGAACTGCCTAAGGGGGCAAGGGAGGGCCATGCTGTTTGAGGGGATGGCGCAAAGCATGAAGGAGCTGGAGGCTACTAAATGGAAGGAGGCAACGACGCCGGCGACGCCAGATCTGGTGTGGAGACTTTGGCAGAAGAAGATAACATCATGCCAAACACATTTCAGATGATAAATGTGGAGGCCACGGTAGGGGACATCTGCCTGAAACAAAGGCGGTTGGAACGTCTAGCACAACGACGGGACATACGAGAAACGGTGCACGCAGAATCGGGTGAAGCATCAGCGTAAGATCACTACGATTTTGGACTTGCAACTGCTGTTTTGAAGAAGTGAAGAGCAAAGGGGGAACCAGAAGGGAAACCATAGCGGAGTCCATCTGGAAAGCATATGAAAGACACGTTCACAACGAAATACGCAGACTACGTATCGTGCACCAGAGAAATGGCAGAGGCCCTCAACAACGGTACTACTATGTCCCCAAGACATACTGGGACGTGGAGAAATGGGCTCAGGAGCTAGCCAAACACCCGCACGACGGAAGGCTGGCAACAACCCCCATCGACCTGGATCAACAACGGTAACAGGGACCGATTACCGTCACCAGAGGACTGGGATGTGAAACTACGCGTGCAGAAGAACAGACAGGCCATGCTGATGCATTGCAGGAGAGCCAAGAAAAAAAAGAGCATGTCCAGAATGGGGGATACCTTTGGAGCGGGCATGGATGGTATTGTATCCCATTGTGCGCTTGCGTGACCCCGAGGAATCAAGTAGAAGGATCGAATACCAAACAACTCAGGACGGCCGAGAAGAGAGAGGACGAGGAGGGGCTTGCAATGCACACGAGCCCCGCCAAGTATGGAAAAGGCATGGCACTGCTGCTGAACATGGGATGGCTTGCAGGAGAGAAGTTCGGAAAATGACAGGGGCAGGACGAAGGCCATGAACTTGCAGCGTGCGGCGCGATGCATGACAGGGTGGGACGGGCACAGCATGCAGGGGTGGGATTTGGTCGCGAGGGAATGGACGAGTACCGGTTCCAACGACTGCTTCTAGACATCCTCACAAAAATCCGAACCAACAACTGCGCGCCGCTCGACTGGCACATGTACTACGCGTTCGACGCTGATAAGCAGAACGGAAAGACATGCATCAAGGGCAAATGGGCCATGCGTATATCCGCCGATCCGGTGTGTAAGTTTCAAACACCCTCAGATATAGCCTGAGCCACAAATCTTAAGCTTCCGCTCTGCTGGGGGGGTGGGTGCCGGGGTGGCTCTGCCGGGGTAGGGGGGGGGGTCCGAATCAATTTGGGTTGCAAAATCGGAGCTCCAGCTCACTTCGGGTCGGCCCCTCGCCCTGGAGAGCTCGAACGCGGGCTCATCAAAAAACCCAACGGCCGCCCAGACGGCCCAAGAGGGCCCTGAGTAGCCGAAACATCGGTCCAAAACACACAATATGTTCCTCAGACGGCTCAAGAAGCCTCCAACGTGCCCTCCCGACGCCTCCTAAGAGTGCCAAAAGTCGGAACATCTGTCCTTATCCCTACATGTGTTGTATTTTCGCTTTTTCGGCCTTCGCAATGTCCAACACGGCCCAAAAGACCTCCCAAACAGGTCCAGAGGCTCTCAAGAGGGCCCCACATCGGCCCAAGAAGGGCCCAAGACTGCCCGGGAGGCCCCCAAAAGGCAGCCCAAGCGGGCCCCAGGACGGGCCCAAGAAGCGCACAAGAGGGCTCCATGACGGCCCCAGGGCCGAAGACGGCCGAAGAGGCGCCCACGAGGCACCAAAATTGCCTAGTAGTTCTCAAGAAACCCCGAGAGGCTCCAAGTGGCCCTCAACAGGCCCCCAAAAGGCGCCTCCGAAGGCTTAAACATTACCTTCTACACACACCCAGGAGGCCTCCAGGATGCCTCCTGCATGCCCCCCAATAAACCCAAAAGGCCCACAAGAAGCTCAACAATCACCTCCAAGACGGGCCTCGAAGATGCGTCGCAGAAGCCCCTCAAGAAGCCCGCGCAACGCCTCCAAGCTGTTTCCAAACCACTTACGTTTGAACAAGCGCGTTGCAAAACAAATGTTCTTCAATGGTTTCGCCTCTTCGTCGTCGTCGTTGTCGTCGTCGCCACCGACACCGAACCGGTCCAAAACAGCCCCAGAACGAACCCAACTAACGCCCAGAACGGACTTTGACCGGCACGAATGACATTGTGTTTTTGTACTTTGGGCCCCCACTCTCAAGGTACATCCGAGGTGAGCGTAGACGCGCGGCGGGCCGCGCGAAGTGCAAGTCTTACAAATCACAGCGGGGCTGCGATTGCCGATGGTTTGGTTGCATCCGGAGGCGGCGTTGTCACACATGCGTTTCGTTCTCGAGTTGGGAGCTGTGGGGTTCAGCCCCTTGCCGCATGCACTTCGCACGCAAACCATCGTCCCTGGGGGCGGACCGGCCGAAACACCCGTCGGTAGAAAACCAGCGCGTCTCGCCGAGGTCGCCGCCGACTTCAGCTTAGCGCAATGCTTGATCCGGTGCTCCTGCAAGCCGACGAAATCGAACGTCATCTTCGTGTCCCTGCTCCGCTCCAAATAGGCCTGACCGCCTGCCCAAGGGTTGGCGCTGGCCGACGCAATCAAGAGCTTGCCGGGCGCGGGGGGAACTCCTGCGCGTCGAGCTGCACTGGCCCTCGACCCACCGACGGAAGGTCGCCGATCACGAGTATCCAGCCCACCTCGCCGAGGCCCAGCTCCGCTGCAGACCCAGGGCCCCGGCTCCCCCGCGCCCTTCTCCGAAGCGGACGCGGCCCTGCCAGGCCTGCCTCTCGCGCTCGACGCCTCCGACGGCGACCTGGAAGGCGCCGCGGAAGCGGCCCAGCGGGCGGCGCCAGCAACGCGCCTGCCAGGCACCGAGCCGGACTCCTCCTCCGCCTTGGCCATGGAGCGCTCGTGCCGCGCCGCCTGCTCCTCCCACGCCTGCGCGTCGGACTGGGCCGGCCTGCGCGTGTTGGCGTAGTAGTTGGCTCGCGCGCGCCTCTGTGCGGCCCGCGCCCCCTCGCAGAAATCCCGCGCCGCCCTGAGCCTGACCGCGCCCATGTCGTCGACGCCTGCCGACCGAGCAGCCTCGGAGACGAGTGGCGCCCACGTGCCGTGCATCAACAGGTCGGCCACGTAGAGCGCGCACAAGCGCAGCCAGTGCGCTCTATATCCAGCTTCGTCCAGCGCTGAGACGTCCTGGAGCCAGAACGTGGCGTAGGCCCTCATACTCCTCTCGAGAGCCATGCGCCCCGACACAGCCGCTCGCCTCGCAGGGCCCTGATCCTCGGCCTCCGCGAAGCCTCCAGCGACTCCGCGACCCGCGGCGGCTCCTTGAGAAGTAGGCCTGCCTTCACGTGGCGACTTCTGCCGTCCCTCCGCCGATTCCCGCTCTCAGGATCCCTCGCGTGGGCCCAGGGGCTCGAGTGAACCCGAGCCCTGCGTGGGTTCCGCCTGCGAACGGGTCTCCAGCTTTTCAGGGGCAGTGAGTGCGCCGCTCGACGCGGAAGCTGATGTACACGACCCCATCTGTGATCTCCTTGTACCATTGCCCTCTTCGTTGGCTCTCCTACTCAGCTGGGCGGCGCGCAGGGATGAAGTACCCCCGCTCAGGCCACTCCAGGTCGCACTCGTTGGACCCCCGGAACTTCTCGAGGTCCGCCAGGCCCTGGCGCGGGACCTCCTGTCCGTGGTCAAACGCGCTGCCGTTTCGCTGCCAATGCTCGTGCGTCCAGGAGCGCGGGGGCCAGCCGCTTGAGCTCGTCGACGCCCTCAGGCTTGTCCAGGTCGAAGGCTGGGCGGGGGCCTCCCAGCTTCTTCACCTCAGCGGCCGCCTAGTCGGCCAGGTCCTGGTCCACCTCGAAGTCGGGCACCTTCACATCCACGCCTCCGCTGGCTGCGCCGCCGCCTTCAGGGGCCCCAAGGCCATCAGGGGCAAGAGTGCCGCCAGCGCTGGGAGCTTCCTTGGCTGCGGCTGCAGCTCGTTCAGCGACAGGGAGCTTCTCCTTGGTCTTGGCGGCGACGGCACGGGCGTCCGCGAGGCTCGCCTCGCCGTCCTGCATGTCCTTGCTCTGGCCAAGGGCGCCGGGGATCAGCGCCAGCTGGTCGAGGAGAGCGACCGTGCCCCCCTTGGTGCCCATGGCAGCCTCAGCACACTTGGTCTCCTCGATCGCCTCCAGCTCCGCCAGCTTGGCCTCGTGCTCGCGGAGCTGCCGCAGCTCCGCGTCATAAGCGTCCTGCGCGGCCGCCGTCTCCAGGGATCGCTCCTCCACGCGTACCTTGGCCTTCTCCACCTGCTTGCTCTTGTCCGCCTTCCTCTGGAGCACCTGGGCCAGCGGTTTCGAAGCGATGTCGAACGCCTCCTGCTTGGGTGGAGCAGGTGCGACCACTGAGAGCTGGCCTTCGGCGAGGCCGTCCTGCCAGCCGCCACCAGCGCCTTGTTGGTGGCCTCCAGCAGCAAGGTGACACTGAGGCCCGCGACCTTCGCCTCACTGCCGTTGCCACCGTCGCCCTTGCCGCCGAAGTGGGGCGACACGTTCTTGGCTTTGTCCCACTGGGCACCGCGAGCTTGAGCCTTCGGCTTGGCCTTGGCCTTGCCATGGGGCTCGGCGGTTCCGGCAGCGCCTTCTCCTCCATCGCGCCACGGCGCTGCTCCGAGGCTGAGGGGCTGGCATGACGTGAGGGCGGCGAAGATGCTGGGCGGTGCCTTGGTCCCGCGCCCTCTCCACTCCGCCCTGCTGATGTAGTTCGGGCAACCGCCGCATTTGCCCGTGCATTTCCACTGTGCCGTCGTTGAGGCTCGGATCCCAGGCGCATCGCGGCGCGATGCCATGGGCCAACCAAGCTCGTCTCCGTATCAGTTGGCTCGCAAGCGCGAGCCGTTCTGAAGTGCGCGCTTGCAAGCTCAGGGCCAACTGCCTGGGCCAGAACGGCTGGAGGGAAGGACGAGGAGGAGGAGGAGGACAAGGCCGATATGGGAGTGAATTGAGGCGGAGGAGGAGGCGGAGGGGAACGAGGGGGATGAGAAGGGGGAGAGATGGATGACCAGTAAGAAGGAAGAAGAGCAATCACACATGGGGAACATGAGTGAGGAGGCGGATATAGAAGGCGGGGATGAGGAGGGATAGGAGGATGATGGACTCGACAAGGAGGGAGGAGTGGTAACGAAGAGAAAAGGATGATGCGAATGTTGTTGCTGATATTGATGATGGTGATGATGCTCACGATTTCAGCGATGCTGATGATGATCATGGTGCTGGTGATGCTGATAATGATGATGCTGATGATGCTCATGACGATGGAGCTGGGAAGGACGAGGACGACGAGGATGAGGGTGAGGAGAGAAGGGAACTTGAACGGGGAGGAGACATTTGGGCAGAGCCAATTCAAGTCTCACCCGCGATGTTGGAATCCAACCTCCCTCCAAGCGCTCTCATCACAATCCACAAGACCCGAAAACCACGAATCAACTTGACTGCGTCGTCATGACGATCTTGAACAATGCCAGAACACCGCTCCTGAAACTTCAACACCGCGAATGAATGTCACTGCTGCGCCCTGGCCATCCTGAATTGTTACAAATCCCAAGTTCTGTACATATTCTAAGCGAGTGTGCGCGGCGCTAAGGCGAGAACCACGTTTTGAAAACGACTCTCGCCACATTGTGAACACCGCTCTCCCTGAATCCTTAAAACTCTTGCACATGTTGAGAACGAGTGCCCGCAACGCTGAGGCGAGGACCACATCTTGAAAAAGACCCGCCCTCCAGCCGTATTTTTTTCAATTGTTTAATACGAGCGTGCGCGGCGCTGAAGCGAGAGCCATTAGTTCAAAATCGCCCGCCATCCATTTGTGGAATTGCCGCCACTTCTTGAACTTCTGGATCATGAATGATACGGAAATCTCAGGCGAAACGCCTGGCCCGCCCTTCCGACTGGCAGCGGGGTGCGACAGGGAGAATTTATTCATAAGGAACAAGAATTGAGGACGAGGAGGAGGATTCGAGGAACACGAGAAGGAGCAGGATGAATCAGGAGAAGGACCATGCGCAGACATAATGAGTCTAGATACATGTGATAAAAGTGAATCAGCGGGGGATGAAGACGAGTAGGACTTAAAACGAATGATCTTAGTGGGGCAACCATGTTGTTACCTGGGGCATCCCGTTATGTTTGTGCCGTTTCATCGCCTTCGAGCCGACGTTCCAGACCTCTCCCGCACCTCTCCCGGGGGGCACCCTGAACAGGATTTCGAGGCGATTCTGGCCGGGCCAGCGAGTTCTTCCAGGAGGCCCCAACATGCGACAACGAGGGACGGGTAGCGGCGGCCTGGGGCCGAGACCCCAGGAAATCGGTTAGCAAGGGAATGCGGCCACACCCGCTCAAAATCGGTCCCCCGACCCAGACCCGTCCCGTGGTCCATCTGGTACAGTTTTTCGTCCCGGACCTGTTTCTGACGGTCCTGGGGCGTGAACACGGCCACCGGTTGCCGAAAAAGGCAAAAGATGCTCCAACCCATTATCTCGAACCTCCCACCTCTTGCTGGCCGGAACCAATGCTGGGCCACCTCAGACTCTCAGCCAGCTCCAAGGTATCGATCGGTACCTTTCCCTCCTCCGAGAGCCGGCGTTCCACACGAGGTTCTTGTAGCCGCTGGACTGCGAGGCGTTGGCGCAGCCGATCGAAGGAGGGCCAGTTGCGACAACGGCGACTCTTCCGCTCAGCCCACATCCGCACAAAGTCGGTTCCCGAATTCTGCGGTAATTCATGGGAGCCTCCTATACCATCTTGTTGGCCCTTGCGGCGCGACGCTGATCAACGCGAAACTGACGCTAAACCTGCGCTATCTCATCGTTTACTAGACACTGACCGACGCTGGCGCGCTCTAGGGACGGGCTCCCATGATTCGCTATAGAACAGACCTCTTCTGGAGTCCGTCCTGACCCGTTTCTTGAGGCGGACCCACCCATGGCGACGAGAAGCCCCCCAGAGAGGCCCTCAAAGACAGACAAGCGCGGGGCAGGGCCGCCAGGAGAGCCCATAATCGAATCGATGAGTCGGGTCGGCGACATGAATCAGATCGGCAAAATCGGCAGCCAAGTCGGGACAAGCCAAACCAGCGAAAATCGGCTGGCGACTGAGGCCTCCATGGAGATCCACGTCGGAATCCGAAATCGCATCGGAATCGGAACCGACCGAAGTCGAACCGAATCGAGTCGGAGGAATCGAAATTGGTCCTGGGGCCGCCGGCCGCCGCCGTCTCGACCGGACACCCCTTCGAGCTGGCGTAGGAGCGCGCCCGGCCCAGGTTGTGCCAGCCACTTTGCGGCGAGGCCACGAACTTGCGGGCCGAGCCCCGCGGGGAGCAGGCCGTCTGGTCGGCCTCGGGCGCGGCCACCTCTCGGGTGCTGCCGACTTGCAAGTCTTCGGGTGCAGCCAAGTCTTGACTTGCCACCGCTCGGACGTCCACACCCCGTGCACGTGTCGGCTTCGTGTGTTTAGTGTGCGTGTGTGCCCCAAGATGATCTAAGATGCTCCCCGATGGTGTTCGCCGAGAAAAATGCGCACGTCCGAGTGATGCCAAGTGGAATAACAGAAATCAACATAAACATGATTCCTCGGAGCTCCGCGCGGTATTCTTGGATCGGCGCTGGGACCCCCTGGCGGCGCCTCTGGCGCCGCCCCTGGCGCGCTCCGCGCGCCAGGGAGGGGGACCCAACGCCGATCCAAGAAATCAGCGCGGAGATCCGAGAAATTGTGTTTATGCCGTCATCTCTTACTCGTCTGCCACAAGGAGCCTCAAGCAAGGCACGAAGCACCTGTCGGGCCTCGGCTGCGCCCAGGGGCATGGGGAGCGCTAGGGGAAGGGATGCAGAAGGACCCAAGGCACAGTCGAGTCTGACTGAAGAGGGCACGCGAGAGGACACGAGCCCCTTCCGAAATCCAACTGGGCGACGACAAGAAACGGGTCTCACGCGAGATGGCATGGCGACCTTACGCGGCGGCCCACGCGGGCCGCCAGCGTGGCGCGCCACTTTGGAGACGAGGGCGCTTCCGCCCACCCTGCCCCAGGAGTGCAGGGGACTCGTGGCGCGAAGCACGGGACCCGCGAAGAAATTCGCGCTCTCGCGGGCGCGCTTTTTTGGAGGCCGCGGCCAGCGAAGAGCTTCGCGCCCTCGCGGGCGCATCTGGCGACACCCGAACCTGCTGCACGATCTCCTGCACGGCCTCCTCCTGCGGCTCCGAGTCGAGCGGCGGCGTCTCGCCGCTCCAGTCGGCCTGGTCGGCCCCCCCAAACCCCCTGGCACCGTTGACAAAATCACGATTGACGTTTGTTTGCGGTTTCCGGCCTCTGAGGGCGCCCCATGCACCAGGACCCTCCAGAGACGCCTCGCGATGGGAAGCGGGCCCCGGGGAATGGGACGGGACTTCCAGGGGACCCGTACGGTGAGGGCATTGGATAAGGATCATCCAGGGTCTGGAGGCCAGTGGAACACCAGTTGAGGCTTGGCCATGGGTAGTATCACAGACAAGGGATCCTTCAGGGTCTGAAGCCTCTTGGGCACATTCCTGAATGAACGCCCCCACCGTATTGAAATAATCCAAACATCGCATGTCTGGGCTTCCTGCTCGCCCGCCGCGTCCAGCACCCTCTGGTGCGCGCTGACGCTGTGGCGGCCATCGCGCCCGCGCCTGTCGCAGTCCACGGTGAGCTTGCACCGGTGCTGCACGGAGTCGCCCCAGTAGCTCCAGAACCTGCAGTGGCCGACGCACCGCGCACGGCAGTCCTTACGGGGAGCGGGCCCTGAGTTCCGACGCTACGAAGAAAATAAAACTTGCAGCATCGCAGAAACTGACAACTGAAACCAACACTAAGACGGGGCTAAGACGAGGATAAATCCGTACCAGAGCAATCCAGAACGCTCTGAGAAGGCCGCGACGTCCGATACATCCTCCAAAGCCGCCAGATATCTAAGATGTTTGGTTTATCCTCGCCCGATGTTATCCTCGTCCCGGCTTCGCTTTACAGACCCCCTCTTTCTGCTGCATTCTAATGGTCTCGGAGCCCGAAGCTGGGCGAGGGCGCCCTGCATAGAACAACCTGATCGAACAAGAACGGGAATCGCCGATTTTGCCCATTGGGCTCGTAGGGGGCACAAAAGCAAAAGGATGATGGCGACGACAAGGCGGCGGATGTCGAGGACGGCAGCGTGGATGACGGGGGGGACAGCGAGAAGAGCAGCAGGACAACGAGTAGGAAGACAAGCGCGAAGAAGAGACAAACATAGAGGAGGACGAGTACGAGGAACGAAACGGACGAGGAGGAGCAAGACGACGACGACGACGAAAAAAAAAGGTAAGGAACCAGACGAACATGTCGACGAAGAAGAGAGGGGTCCTCGTGATCTTTTGAAGCTACCCTATGGGCTGTTGGGGCCGTCTGGGGCTATAGTGGGGCATCCTGGGGGCCTCTTGGGGGCATGTCGGGGTCCTCTTCGGGGATAATGGGTTCTTCATTGACTGTCTCGGCCTGTCTTCAGGTTCTGCGGGGGGCTCTCTCAGGCCATCTTGGCCCGCTCCGCCATCCTTGCCCGACAGGGTAGGCGCAGCCTGGGCAGGGGCGGCAGAGTCTCCACTCCTTTTTGGGTGCTGGCATTGGCGCTGCGCCCGGCAGCATGTGCATTTACCTTCGGGGAACTCGTTGCGCGTGACCGACTTCTTCAAGCGACCGCCCTTCATGCGCAGACTCTGGTTCCCCTTGCCGGCCCGCTCTCCGGCGCCGCCGCCCTCGTCGCCACTCGCGGGGAAGCCTCGTGAGTTCAGCGTCTTCCACTGCCTTTCTCGATTGGTCTGCGCCCTTCCTTTGCGCGTGAATTCGCTGACCCTGGACCGTCGCCATTTGTAAGATTTCGCACCCGTCCCATAATCATCGCGGCTGTGATCGTAGATGACAAGGGCGTGCTGTATGCAGGGGTATGTCTGCATTTGACGGTAGAAAAGTTCCTGTATGGCCAGGCGAAACGAAGAGTCCAGCCCCTCCATCTCGTTCAGTGTCCGCACGCATTCATCGTAGAACTGGAACAGGTCGGCGTCCGCTTCCTTGCCCGTGCCACGAATCTTGATTCCCATGGGATCTGTGCACGTCTACACTTGGCCGCGATCCTGCCCGGCGGTCACGCGCGCGGCAATGGAGCGCAGAATCCCCCGACCCTTTATTGTGCAATTGGAGGCCTACGATGCGATATCCAATCGTTCAATTTCGCTCGCAAGGTGGCGTACTTGTGATGAATGTTGCCAGTCTTTGATTCTCTTGTTGACCTTGGACACCAAATCTGCTGCCGTCATCAGGTCAAGCCGAATGAAGACGCCCGGGCGTTCCAATTTCTTGGCGTCAACCTCCTTCACGTCGAACGCGCTCGACATCCAGCCGACGGCCCCATCGCAATTCTGAGAGGATGAAGCCATTGTCCGGACGACGTTGCACCTCCAGCGCTGGTAATTGGCAACATCCGGGATCGCCTCCAGCGCGATCTGATCCGTCTTGCCTGCGTCATTCCAGCATGGCACTGCAGGGGCGTCGTCCGCCGCCGGAGAAGGGGGGGCGTCGCCGCCTCCACCGCCGCCGCCCGGCGAGCCACCTCTGGGCGCTACTCGGCCGCGTCGGCGCCGTCGATCTGGATTGTTTCCCCTTCTCCATCGGGCGTCGAGTGTCCGCCGTCTTCGGAGTAGAAGCCGCCGTCGCCGTCGCCGTCTCATCTCCTCCGCCGCCGCCGCCATGGGGGCCCGAAGCTGGGCGTCTGAGCCCCAGTGCCTTCCGCGGAGGAGCCAACTCATGATCCCCGTCTTTGTTCTTGAATGCGCCCGGCAAGCTCCCCATCGGCAGCGGCGTGCATCCTGGAGAGAGCATTGAAGTATTGACGCGCGCTGCCGCCGACTCTGTCTTTCCCACGCTGGCAACAGCTTCGGCGCTTTCCTCGCGCATTTTCCGGATCTCCACGATGCGCTCGGCACGCAACCTGGCTTGTTCTTCTGCGCGCTGCGTAGCCAACGTGAGACATCCCCTTAGTTTCTCATCCTCGGCCCATACCGTCTCCTCAAACTCAAGAAGCCCCTTGGGCTCGGGTTTCTCGGCCATTCGCCAATCACTCCCTGGGGCGCGGCATGCCTTTCCTCGCATTATTTTCCCGTTCTTCTAGGCAGCCGAATTTTCCCCGCAGCAGCGCGCGCATCCCATCGCCCCTCATATGGCGGTCGTCACGGAAGCTATTCTTGCACTTGGGACAATCGTGACTCGCCACCTTGTCGCATGCGGAACGCCAAAGAACCCCTGCGCGGGGATGCCGCCCCCGTTCCCCTGCGCTGGCGGCCGCCCAACCGCGCTCGGCGCCGGCGGCTGGGCAGCGGGCGCTTTTGCCGTGCTCGCCCGGGTCGAAGAACCAGTGCCTGAGGTTGCTGGCGAAGACGCCCTTTTCGGGTGCCAGTGTATCTGGTGTTGGTCAAGTTTGCGATGTGGTCTTTCTCGCTCTGCTTCCCTTTTCATCGTCGACTGGGCAGCCCCCATCCCCGCCGCGTGAGCCTGTGCGGCGATTTTCCATTTAGCAATCATGTCAACTCGCCGCGCCTCCTCACGGGCCCATAGTTTCTCGGCCTCAAATCAAGCGTAGCTCTCATCCGCGGCGAGTCGTTTCCCCTCGGCTTGCTGCAGGGAAGCGGCGGCTGCCGCCAACCACTCATTGCGACTCTCGGCTGCCTGCAATTCCACGGCTGCGTCGCCGTCACTCGCTGGGCCTCGCCGGCCCCCCGGACTGCGCGCCCCGCTTCTTCCGCCAAGTTCTTCTCGCGTAGGTGCGCCTGGTGCTCGGAGGCGACGGTGTTTTAGAGCCCGTTGGCTGATCTCTCAACTCTGCCGCCGTTCAAGCCTGCTGTCGCCCCTTCCAGGGCGCGCGCAGCGTTCGCCATGGCCCCCCGGCCCCTCTTGTCCAACTGTTGGGCAGCGACCTCCTGTTATCGGATCTCTGATTGCCTCAGTTGCTCGCGCATTTCACCCGCATCTCGCCCCCGGGCCTCCACTATCTCGACCCATGTTCTTTCCTCTGCTTCTCGCCGCTCGTCAACTCGTAATCCAGCGCAGTCGCGCGCGGCGGGAGTCGTGCGGGACGGGCAGGGGAAGTTATGGTCGAAGCTCGCGGTTGCTTGATAACCCAAAACAGACAAGCTACTTACACTGGCTAGACAGGCCAGGGCCGCGCCGCACTTCGGGCGCATGAGCGCACCCAGAGCCAACGTTGGCACACTTAGCATTTACCCGATCTTCTTGACAAAACAGACAGGTCCGACACCTCCGACCGCGGCCTCGGGGCCCTGGGCCCGCCTCTTTCAGCGCTTCTCCTCCGGGGGGAGCGGGCGCGCGGATCCGGGGATTCGAGCGTTGAGGTCCTTCCGGGGAACCCCGGGGAATTGCCCCCGGGGGCCCGCCCCGGAACGGACATTGGGCACTGTTCCGGGACATCGCCAGACCTGCTTCGCTTCCCGAGATGCGAGGTAACCGAAAGACGGGTAGTTTCTCGTCTCTGCTCGTTCGCCGGTCGAACGCTGTCGCCCGCAAACTCCTCGCCGCAAATGTCATCCAAATGTCGTTCTAAAGAACCGTCCGGTGGGATTGCCGCGCCCTCGCCGCGCGTGGGTGGCATCTCTGCAGCGCGCTCCGGCGGGTCGCCCAACGGGGCGGGGGGCGCGGGGTCATCGACCCCGCGCCCCCGGCCGCGCGGCCCAGGGCTCTCGTGATCCCAAGTCGGCGCAGGCGTAAACTTACGCGGAAAATTCTCGATATCGTATCTGCGCCGCGGTCGTCGCTGGAGGGGCGCCCGGATGCGCCCGCGCGGGCGTCGGCGGGAAGCGGTCATCATCCTCTTCCTCTTCGCGTCCTTGCTGAGAGATGACCTTGTTCTCGGGCCTCGGCTCACTCGGACGTGGATCTCTTGTGTGCGAAAAATTCCAAGGTCTATATATATATATATATATATATATATATATTACTGCGAGGACGTGGGCCCGACCCCTCATCCTCTTCAGCGGAGTCGGATGCAGGAGCTTCCACACTTATCTCATCACTGCGTGGTTCTTCATCAGGACGTTGATCAGGGCGCGCACCACCCTTGAATGGTAAGAACACCGTTCCTCAATCAGGTAAGACCATGTTCGTCGAAGACGGCAATCTCGTCTGATAGCCAGCATTTCGCCAACCGTTCGATGGCATTGGTACCTGTAATCGAACGCGGAACAAAGAATCCCAGGAAGTCCCCATACCCGGGGGTCCCAGAAATCTGAGCAAGTCAAAATGCATCCTAAAACGGCAGATTGAATGCGAGGCGCGCCGAACGCAAGCGCGCACAAAACGCGCAGAGATATCGGCACACACGCACCCAGAAACCCTGAGATACCAAGAGCCCGAGGGAAAGGAGCGACAACCAAAAAAACCCGGGACTTGACATCCGATCCATTGGCGCCGCTGGCGTTCTGAACGCCGTGCGGACAAGCGCTGCGGTGCGCGCGGCTGCTGCGGCGCGCAAGCGCCGCGATGTGCACGCAAAAAGCTAGCACGTAGCTTGGGCGAAAACAAGTCGCCAGCCCTTTACGTGAAGTTGTCGCCCGTAAACACGTCGACCCCAATGTCCCCATGATCAACGCGAGGAAATCCGACCCATTGGCCGCCCACTCGACCTTAACCGCGTCCAACTTGGAGTGGCCGCTAACGAAAACAAATCCAGCATCACCATGGCGTAGCACTACAATGCCAAACTCCCCGGACGCGTGAAGCCGACAGCCCTACCCGTCACCTGCCGCACCCAACTCCCTCTTCCTTCTCCTCCTCCTCCTCCTCCTTCTCCTCCTCCTCCTCCCCGTCCGCGTCCTCCCACCTCTCTTCTGACGCAAGCCGCATTCGACACGCGGTCAACTGATCCCCCCTTTTCGTAGGCCAACTGAAGCGGTATCCAGCCGCGCCGCTGAGGATAGCCGTCGAGGGCTACGGAAACGCCAACACCGCTCCTGAAGGAGGTCGCGGAGAATCGAAGATTGAGGAACGAATCGCATCGACAAGGCAGAGTGGGAGCAGAAGACACCAGATGAAAGGGAGGACGCCGATGAGAAGAGGAAAGCGAGAAAAAGGAGGACAATGAGGAGGAGGATGCTGGCTGACCGCCGGTGTTAGGAAGTAGGACCCAGAGGAGGCGTCAGAGGAGGGGAGTAAAGGAATAATGCGAATACGAATAGTAGTCATGCCAAGAAGACGAATAATAAGAAGAAAATCAACGATAACCACAATACGACGAAGAAACATGATGATGAGAAGAAGAACAAGAAAAATAAGAGGAGGATCGTGCCCTGCTGGGCGAGGTCGGGTCGCATTCGACTTTTCCGAAGAGATCACGACGACCCAAGAAGCTTCCAGAATGGCCCAGAAACGGTCCCAGAGGTCCCCAACAGGGCGCCGAAACGGCCCGAGAGAACCACAAGACGGACCAAAGAGCCTACAAGCCAGTCCAAGACGTTTTCAAGACGGCCCAAGAAGATCCAAGGAGATGCCCCGAAGTGGCCCCCAAGACGGCCTCAGAACCCAAACGGCGCGAGAGCCCCCCAAGAGGCCACTAAGATGCGGACCAAATGCGGACCAAAATGGACACCCCACCCCTCCGGGGCCCAAAAACGTACCAAACCGTATGTAAAATCAATCATGCCAAAAGAGACGGCCTCGTGGGTTCCAAGGGCGCGTCAAAACGGCCCGGAAAGGCCACGCAAACGACCCAAGATGGCCCCATGAGGGCCCAAGATGCCTCCGAGAGGTCCCCAAAATTGCCTCAGGGGGCCTCACGGGTGCCCCCGAGAGCACATCCACAAGTCAACAAAAAATGATGTCCCATAGGTGTTTGATACATGTCAGCGTTGCTGCCATCTTCGACTCTAGGGGGCCCATGACGGCTTAGGCAGCCTCCAAGGTGGCCCCAAGACGGCCCCTGGAGTTTCCAAGAGAGCCCGCGTCCTTGTATACGATTGGCTCGTTGTTAAAACGCCCAGGGGCGGACGGAACGGCACGGCAGAACAGCGAGGCGGACGTGCACCCCGCGAAGCGAGAGGAATCGTAACACCAGGCCCGAGGGGAACACGGCGGGAGCACAAACTTTCGGAGGTCCACGCGGAGCTCCGACAATTTTGTGCCCGTGCCGTCTTTTTCTTTCTCCGCGTCCTCCCAACCCATGGTGGGCCCGTCGTAGATCGGCGCGCCCGTGCAGACGCCCACGAGCCCAGCGGGCGCGCGCCTCTGGGGCTCTGGCGGCTGCGCCAGCACCTGCTGCGGGCACGCCCAGAATGTGCATGAAGTGGGCATGACGCCCAACAGTACATGAGATCCAAAACGCACAACGGCCGCTGTCTCAAGCGGACAGCGTCCGCGGCAACACCGACAACGAGTCCTGCAGTCGCCGTGCTACTAGAAGCAACATTGACTGAGGAACGAAGTGGACTTTCCGACCACGCCGAGCTTATCGGTCACGTCCCCAAATGGGCAGGAACTGCTGCCTGGCATTCGCACCTACCTTTCCCGTGCGGCAAGTTCGTGTCGTGACGGCCCTGGCGTTGGTTTCTGACACCGCGTGGCTCGAACCATCGACGGCGTCTCGATCGCCAGGTCGGCCCGTATTGACGGACTCGGGGCCTATGGCAGCGTTCCACTTTGAACACCAGCGCTGGGCTCGTCGCCGCGTCGGCACGACACAGACCTATCGTACCCGTTGTAATCGTACAGGTCTTCCAACGACCAAATCACCTCCTGAACCTAAGTGGTCCCTGCTCCAACGCCTTGAGTGCCTTCAAGATAGGGCACCCTGACATACGATGTCTTGTTTTTGTTCAGTGCGGGGGCCCCAGAGGTCCCGACCCTTGCCCCAAGGCTGGTTTTTCATCAAGCGTCGTTGTTTGACGGTCCCAGAGCCGGGAAGATAGCCCCAAAGGCAGAAAACGGCCAAGAACTTCCCATCGTGACTTTCTCACGACGCGAGCATGGACCAGAACTGTTGCCTTGCCTTCGTCCACTCCCTTCCCGTGCCCATTCCGATCGCACCGATCCTTAGAACTTGTGATAGCGCCAACGTGTGCATGTCGATAGAAGCCTTCCGGTGCGACGCAGGCATCCAAGTGAGGCCCGAAATTAGTAAACTTTCGGAGCCTCGACAGCTCATGTTTACGCAATGCTATCTTCTTTGAGACACAAGCGGCGTGCCGTCGGCGGAGCTGAAAATGGCAAACGCACATTGAGCTCGAGAGCGTTTTTCAATGCTTCGTGATAGCGGCCGTTACCGGCCCTGACCGCCACCCTCCCCCACCCCCAGAGAACATCACGATTCGTGCTGACCTGGGTGTTGGCCGTGGTGATTCCTAAACCATCCAGACGGTGCCGACGCGAAACGCGGCGCTACCGGACCGGCCCCCAGCCCTCCACCCCCCGACCCCCAGTAACGCCCGGGAGTAAAAAAGCTCTCCTGACACACGTCCTGAAGCAGGGTAACAAACAATGACATAAACATAAACGAAAACTCGGAGGTCCACGCAGATTTCTCGGATCGGCGCTGGACCCCCTCCCTGGCGCGCGGAGTGCGCCAGGGGTGGCGCTGGAGGCGCTGCCGGGGGGATCCAGCGCCGATCCGAGAAATCTGCGCGGACCTCCGAACTTTTATGTTTATGAAATTGTTTGGTATCCAATGAGGTTCATCTGAGGGGCAACGACAAGGAGGACTGGCATAGGGGAACCTGGAGCTGGAGGTACATCGCAGATAGATCGGCGATGGGCCCCGATAGCAACTTGGCACGTTCGTGGGTGGGGTGGGGCTATCAGACCCATCGGCGTTAATGGGCGATTGGGCGTCGATGCAGCTCCTCATAAGGCTATCCTCCCCGTATCGTTGCCCATGAGATCCCACGTTGCAGAACAATTCAACATCGCAAGAAATCAATGCAACACTGCAAAACATGAAACATCGCAAAGAACTCCATCCTTCTGCGTCATGTTTCAAGCTGGATCGATATGTGAGGGTCCCAGAGACCGACACCGGGCCGAAAACGGCCGCTGTAAAAAAATGCAGCCCGAGGATCTCAAGGTCCTGGCACAGGTCCTGACCTGGAAATGCCGCCCGTTTCCTAGGACTGGGTTTTCACCCTGAGTCGTTTCGTCGACGGTCCTGGGGCCCAATGAGGGCCCCCAGAAGCCGAAAACGGCAAATCAAACCTCCCGTCCTGATGTTTTGCACGACGCGGGCATGTCTGGGCACCCATCCTCGAGCACCTGCGCGGGGTCCTCGGGCGCACCCGGCGCGAGCTGGGCCTCGAGCGCCTCACTCTGCCGGAGGCCCTCCGCCGCGCCAGCTGAGACGAGCCGCTTCAACACGCTGTGGGAGTGCTGCGGGGTGACCCTCGCCCAGGGCAGCTCCTGGAGCAGACCTAAGAAGAAGCCAGGACAAGGATAAAATCCGGTGAAGATAGATCGAGAGTCTCTGAGATCCCGCGGTTCTGAAGGATGTATCGGGCGCCGCGGCCTTTTCAGAGCGTTCCGGAAGAAAATATCCTCGTCCTGGCCCCGCCCGGCTCAAGTAACCGCTTGGGCGTCCAAGAACAAGGTTCAATCGATTTCATCCAGACAATCCTCCTCACTCTCACACCACCTCTCTGGGCTGCGATGGCTTCCTCGAGTGCTAACGGCCATACGCGCGTGCAAGGTACACCAGTGCAGGACCTGCTCAAGGCATCGCTTCTCTGTCTTCACCGGCAACACCTGCTCCAAAAATAGCTCGCGTGACAAGCGCGCTGAATGAGATGGATGGAGTGGACGCGGGAGAACCTGTTCCAGCAACAAAGGCAAAACCTCTGCGACTTCCGGATGGCGGGGCAGACGCAGCAGTTCGAGTACGTCGACAAGACTTCCAGCGCAGCCTCATGGAAGCGTCTGGCGTTGGACTCACCACGGTTGCTTTCGAGGCCATCTTGAACAAGCATTTGGAACTTATTAAGAACGATACTCGTGCCATTCAGCAGCACGGTGTTTCTCAATACGACCTGAAGAACACGGTGGGCCCGCTGCGTAAAGAGCTCGAGGAGTTGCAGGATAGTGTAACTAATGATCTTGAAGACTTACAGATACATGCTACCAATATGGAAACACCATCGACGATATGAAGCAGGACATAATCAATTTACGAAATACTCCAAGGTCGATGGGCGGAGGGTCGCAGACGGGATATCAGAGTCATGTTGGGAACGCGGCCAGCGATAAAAGAAGTATCACAGCTGTGGTGGGTAATTTGGATGGTGTCGCCTCTTTCGAAATGGCGTCCGATTGGTTAAAACAGGAAATTGAACACGTACAGGCGTCGGCATGGAGAAACATCTACTTCAAACGCGAGTTCCGCAACATCGCGTTCTGCGAGTTCGGAAACGCCGAGGACAGGGACACCAGTGGCGCAACTACGCAGCGCCGAACTTAGTCGGAATGGGAACACAATGTGGGCCACAACAGACCGTGCTCCATTAGCACGGGCAGTCCGCAACTTCTGTTATGGACTCAAGTACTTCTTCAAAAACAACATGTGCATGGACTTCACTATAAAGGTAGACGACCAGAACCCCTACTCAGTTGAAATTGGCGGGGAGCTTGCCGTAACACGTACACTCGATGGGGCGATATCAGCATGAATTGGGCCAACAATTGGGGCACATGGCAGGAATTGCGCTCGCACCCCAAATTCGAAGAGCTCGTCGAGACATGTGAGGGCATAGTGCAAAGAAGCTCTCAGGGCATGAAGAGAGAAGCGAAAGGCTCTTCCAACAGGGCCGAAAGGTAGGAATCACGGCCACCACTGGAAAACCGTACCGTCATATCTAGAAGTGGTCCGCTTCGTGTACGCCCGCCTGCGCTGAAATAACATCGTGCTACGGAATTTGACAAACAAAGCTACCATACCTGAAAAACGTACTTCCTCATCTACCCCTTCTTCGCATTGTCTTTCACACCTACCTCCCGTTTTGTGTTTTTCTTTGCTTCTCCGGAGCTGTGTTGAGAGGCAATCGGTGGATGGCGCCAGGCGAGGCCTACCGGCACCCCGCGAACCTTTGCATCAAAACGTAGCTGTTGCCCACTCCTGAAACAATCGATCGGGGCCTGGAACATGACGTTTGGGATAGCACATGGCAAGACTACCATAACTACAACATTAAATGGCGAAACACAATATCGAAATTTTATGTACGGCAGAAACGGGAATCACAACGCATACTGAAAGTATCGATTCTGACTACATACTTTATTCTATCCGGGACGTCAAAGCCACATGGAGAGGGCCGGTTTTACTCTGGAGTGGCATTCTTGATGGCGCCTTGGGCCGAAAGGCTGGCGATCCTGAAGCTCAAGATCCGCGGCGGCATGCTCAATATCATTACGGCTTACGCGCCTCATGGAGGTTGCGATTACGAAGAGAGGCGCGATTTTTTCGACCAACTCACGAACGCCTGGCCAGTGCCCAACAAGCACACCACCACTATCGCATGCGGCGGCTTCGACGCGAGGTTTTACGACCGGGAACCTGGGGGCGAAGATATCACAAGCGAGTTTTTTTTTTTGTTTCCAGAGCAAATGGCCACGACAAAAATCATACTTAAATAGGGACTTGTTGTTGGAGACCTGCCAGGCAACATCAACCGCACTCGCCAGCGCAATTTTTGATCAGTCTCTGGAAAACCTTATTTCATATTATGGGATGGAGGTGGACAGGGCGAATCCGATAGGAGAAGGTTTTGCTCAAATCAGAAAGATTGGGAAAATGGCGAACGTATGGGCAGATCGGACAATCATACTGGCTTCGAAACATTTCCTACTACGTATGCTTTTGGATATCCAATTCGATACTACATGCACGAAACAATGGAGAAACATATACCGCCTGAACACGGTGATGGTGGACGACAGCGCTGCCGGATATTTTTGCCGCCGCTTCGTCGAGGCAGCGGTGGTGCCAACGACTCCCAATACTTTAGATTCGCATGTCAAGCGCATCGCCGACGCAATGGTATATGCTGCAGAAGCAATCAACGCACGGACGGACGGACGCTGCAATTCGCACCGGGGCGCGGCCCTCTAAGAGCGCAGCGGGGGCGCCGGAGCGCCGGAACTCAGTTCTCGATGGCATTCTTGTTCGACTTCAGCTCTTCCCTGTTCTGCTGAATGCTCTGCAATAGCTTGCGCATCTGGCTTCGTGCGCTTTTTGAAGTAACCAAAATGATGCTGACAGACCCAACGCGTGCCAAACCATCGAGGAAGGTTGTTCTTCACTAAGCTCGGAAAGAATACCTTCATGTCGCCGTCGTCATCGATTTCCTCGATTTTGCCGCGGACCTCTGGCTTCATCAAAACATCCCGGCAGGAAGCATCGTCGGAAGTGAATTCTTTGCAAACCTCCAAAACGTCCCCAACCATTGGGCCCACGACTTTCTCCCACGTACCTTGTGTTTCCAATTCCTCGATCACTTGGTAATCTGATGTTGTCATGTGCACCTGGTACTCCGGATCGTCCTCTCCAGTCTGTGTAGTGCCTTCTGCTTGGGCCGGGCTTGTCGGCTTGTCACATTGCGTCAAGGGTTTTATGGATACCGTCGGGATCCGACATATCGGCGATGAGTTCCCGAAGTGTGTTTCCCAACTCTCTCTGGTGAGCTGCCGCGCAAATCGCGAATATGTTTGCCATGCGAGCTACCAGCAAGCGAACCGGACGGCAATGAGCGGATATGTTTGTCGCTCCCACTGTTTTGGCAAGGGGCATCGTGAGAGACACGCCGGCAACCCAGAAATTGCTCGCGGGATACTTGCAATCCTTGACTTGATGACCACTTCGCATTGTGGTCACGGGACTTCGCAAAATGCATCTTGATGAAGCATCCGTGTGGGACTTGCTCAATGTGGATGGCCCTGGCTTTGCTTAATACTTCTAGCACCATGCATACCGTGGATTCTCCATGTTTGTCAGCCGCTGCCTCGAGAAAGCTTTGTGCCGAAACAACCATCTCCGAATTCGAGAAAATGACATCGAACAAACAAGGCGTTTACTCTAAACAGGTGCGATAATCAGATATGTGCCAATCAATCTTGAGCCAATCAATCTTGGGGAGAAGCAGTCAAGGAACGTGGGAAGGAACCCAAACGACCATGGATCTCACAAGCTACGCTGGATTTGTTGACCGAGGGGGCTGCTATCCAATCAAAGGGAAACTTGTTGGAAGGCATCTGTGAGGACAGACAAGAAGAAATGGTTGGATTCACAATTGTTTGGTGGAAAATGGGCAGCTGTACGGGCCGTCAGGAAAGGGTCCCCCAAGAAGCCAATACAAATTCGCAACACACATGTGCAGCTGCTGGAGAGCACACGACGCGCTGATGCATTGGCGGAGTACTTGCAAAAAGATCCAATAGAAAATTACGCATGCAAATCTTCTACCGAGTGGGAGAACAAAGTTGGAGACACACTGGGCATATACACGGGGACATTCGATATAAAAGAGCTTCGACGTGCACTCCGGGCTCTCGCCGCTGGGAAAACGGGGGGCATAGACGACATACCCCCAGAATGTTGGAAAGCATTATCGTCTTCAGAAGTGCGGGGAGTTGTTAATATTCTTTCAAAGGTGTTAGGACGAAAAGAACATACCAGCAGAATGGCATACTTCAGTTGTGGCACTTCTACGCAAAAAAGGGGACACAAGCCTGCTGGATAATTACCGCCCTGTATCTCTTTTGTCGATTGATTGGGTGCAAACTTTTGGCGTGGATGCTACAAAAGCGAATGCAAAATGGCGGGGCCGAGAACCGAATTCGTTCAACTCAATATGGCTTCCGCCCAGGCACAAGCACTGCCCAGGCGCTTGGCATTGCCCGGAGGATTGTCGAGGCCGCAGAGACATGTCAATCTCCAGAATTGGTTGCAGTATTGCTGGGCTGGTCTAAAGCCTTTGACCGGATCAAGCACGATACGCTCTTGGACGCGCTTCGAAAATTCGGCATCCCCACGGACATGTTGAACATGATAGCGGCGATCTACAGATACAGAACCTTTGTGTTGCGGGACCTGGTCGTAAATTCTAGCAAACGTCTTCAGGCTGCAAGGATCGCACAAGGGTGCCCGTTATCACCAGATCCATTCATCATCGTTCAAAGCGTCATGTTTTACGACGTCAACAGCAGAATGGCTGGCCTACATGATGCTGTCCGGGAGCCCAACTATTTGGCATGCAGTGATTTGTTATACGCCAATGACACAATGTTACTCAACAGCGATTCTGGGAAGCTTCAAACATTACTCAACACAGTAATTGACGAAGGCGCGAGATATGGCTTGTATCTGAATTGGGATGAAAATATATGCATGCGTGTACGTAACACTGGTACTTTGCTTTCTCCCGCCGGCGCGCCGCTGAAATAGTGGAGCAAGCGGTCTACTGAGGAGGGTGATTGAATGTAACATGCTCAGCACAAGCTGAATTCACTCGGAGAATTGGTGAAGCCACGTCTCTATTTACAGCTCTGTCTCACTGTTGGTCGCACGCTAATCTATGCCGCGACCGGAAAATCCAATTTTATAAAACAATTGTCTTGCCCACGCTGCTGTATAAGTTAGAGACTGTTCGGTCATTGCAAACTGACAGAGCCCGTGTAGACAGCCTCCATGTGCAATGTCTGGGAAGTATTTTCTTTCCAGAGTTCCGTCTGCATACGTGTCAAGAACTTCTAACAATGAAGTCCTAGAACGTGCACAGAAGCCGCCACTGAGCGAGACGCTCCGTGATCGGCAGATGAATATGTATAGGAAGATTTCGGCACTCCCGGAAAATAATCTCCTCAAGTTCCTTACGTGTGAGCCTGGCACAAGGCTGCCTAGGCGATGGGCGCACAAAAGGAAGAGAGGGAGACCCAAACAGCAATGGGCTTCCAGCGTCTATTCGCTTTTGCCAGCAGGCGTGCTCTGATTGTTTTCGGCGCCCTCCCTCCTCTCCTCGTCCCTCCTCCTCCTCCTCCTCCCCCTTCTCCTCCTCCTCCCCGCTTGTCCCCACAGGTGGAGCCGATACGTTTTCACGAAATTTCGTATCGCATCCGCTGTCCGGCGACACTGCGCTCTGCCAACTCTTTCTTTGCCAGTGCGCCGTTCGAGCGCAGGGCACGTGAGGTCTCTTGGCTGTTTTCGGTCTCTGGGGGCCCTTCCCAGGCCTCGGGGGCCGGCATGCACGACCCCAGAAAAAAACTGGCCTACTGCAGGTCCGTGCCGTGACGACCCCGGCGTTGGTTTCTGACACCGCGCTGGATCGTTCAACCTTGAACGATCGGCCGCTGCCGCAACGTCCCATCGTTCAACATCGACCGATTCTGGGTCGCCCGCGGCGTTCAACCTTGAACGCCGCTGGCGGGGTCGCCGCCGGTCGACACGACACGAACCTACCGTGTGGCCGCTCCTCGGGGAACAGACGACGACGTGAACATAACAATTCGGAGGCCCGAGCGATCGGCGGCGAGCCCCGGGCGGAAGTCGGCAGGGGCAGTCCCTTCTCGGGCTCGGGGGGCCTCGGGCCTCCTGAGCAGTCTGTAGGGCTTTTTCCCGGAGGCACAGAGCCATCTGCTCGAGTGCCGGCGGGGCTTGTGAGAAGCCCCCCCCCACCTTCTGAGAAGGCCTTCTCCCTCTCACTTCCCCCGGGCACGTCGCCAAAGGGAGGAGCAGAAAAACGGCGTGCGCAGACTCGTGCTGGCTCCTAGTGTTCGTCAGCTTCTAAACTGCCCCGCATGTCAGGGCACACGTGTGCCGATCGCCTGCCCACCAAGAAAGGGTGCGGTCCGATGAGCGGGGTTTACAGACAGCAGACGGAAGTATCTGGTGGCTGCGAAAAACAGCGTGCGCGCCACATATCGGAGCTTCGCGCGGACTTCTTGGATCGGCGCTGGACCCCGCTGGGGGCACCTCTGGCGCCGCCCCTGGCACGCTTCTTCGCCAGGGAGGGGGGGGACCATCGCCGACACAAAAGCTTCGAAAATGGTCCGTCCTGGAAATCCCGAACCCCAAGTAAACGGGCAGCCTTCAGCTGGCGGACCTGCCGCCGTTTTACTTTCACTAGCTTGTTTCGACCTTCCGCCACCCTTCCCCGAGGAAGAGATGTTAAGTCCTTCGATCCTCGAAGGCGAGGCCTTTGCTGGAGCACCCCAGATGGGGTCGAAGCAGACAGGGGTCGGAGGATGGTGCCGATGCGTCGCCGATGCACTGGCGACGTCGACGTGGAGGAGATCGGGCTCAACACCGCGCCGCACGTCGCCGATGCACGGCGATGCGGCGCGACCCGCCGGCCCCGCGTGCGCTGCTTCTCGGCCCCCGTTTGGGCGGCCGCCAGGAGACAGAGGATCCAAAATAATTGCATAAGTATCCACTTTCGGAGGCTCGCGCGGATTTCTTGGATCGGCTCTGGAAGCGCCGCCCCAGGGCTCCACCGTCGATGCGAAAAATCCGCTCGTAGCTCCGAAGGCTCATGTTTTTACTCCTCACTGGAAGGCGTCCCCAGGCTGGAAAGCTGCCGAGAGCCAATAGAAACGTCCTGAAAACCTCGAGAACCCCGAGCCCTCCACGACAACGTTCAAACACATGAAAACATTGAAAATACACACAACCTTGAACATGTATGCATCCGCGAGGAGTTCCGAACGTTTATGGTTATGCCATATCTTGCTCCCCGAGGATTGCTCCTCGCCCTGCTCGAGGTCCTCCGCCAGGTCAACCTTGGCGTCGGCCGAAGGGCCCAGCTCGGCGTCCGCCGCGGTGGACAGATCGTGTCCCGCTGCGGGGGCCTTGGGAGTTGCCTAATCGGGGCCAGTGCGTGGCGGGAGAAGAAGCGTACACCTCTCGGCCCCCCTTGGGCCCCGGCGGGCCCCTTCAGGGCAGACGAGGTGCATGTGTCGACCCCCCATGTTCATCGCCACCCCATTACGCAACGCCCGAGGGCCAGCCCGACGTCCATCGCAGGGGCCAGCGCCTCTGCCCTGACACCGAAGGCCATCCAGGCGACTCCTGCGCCGAGCGAGCGCCGCACGGTCATGCTGGGAGAGAAATCAAAAACGTCGAAACCTTTTCGTAACAGGATGTGTAAGGGTCAGAGTGTCAATCCGAAGTGTCAGAATCTACCCATCCTTCGAGCCAGAGTTGCGGACGCGCAATCGGAGACGTGACGCCGAACCTCCATGACATGAACTGCAGAGGAAGGCTCTTCCAATCTCCCCTTGTCGCAAAACTGTTCTAGCTCGCCGGACTTGCCCGTTCCACCCTTGGGTTCCCCCCTCCCATGGTGTATGCAGCGTTCGCTTTGGGACGTTCGGAGACTCGCGCGGCGCCATCGGGTCAGCGCTGCACCCCATCCGCACACAGCTTCCCCAATGCCTAGCGCGCCGTGGGCGGCGCCAAAGACGCAGGATGAAGATGCCACCGACTACGCGCAATAATGACTTTAGGCATGAATGACCGTTGTTGCGCGGCTTTAAGTGGGGCCCAGAGGGGGCCAATCCAAGCGCGCAAGCCGCTGCTATCGCATCGGGTTCAGCAATCGGGGGGGGCCCTTTGGGCCCACTGTAAAGGTCACTCCAGCGAAGGGTCCCTCGCACGCGAAACCGATACTATCGGATGGTGATGCCTGGAAGATGCCTGCGGCGCTGCGGCCGTTCCAGCGCGCTCTGGGCGCCCTGGGAGCGCTCCGGAAGCTCAGGGGCGATTTGTCTTCATCCTAGCTCTGCCTGGCACCTGCCCCAACGCGCGGAGCGTATTGAGGCAGGTGCCAGGCAGAGCCACGGTCTGTTCATCGTGTCGGCGCCCCTGTTGTCGTGAAATTATCCTCGGAGGGCCTCTTTGCGACGCTCCCGAGAGAGGGGGGGAGGAGGGAGGAGGGAAGGAGGAGGGAGGAGGACGGATGGGGAGGAGGCGGATCTCGCGCACGGCGCTATCGGAGCCATCGAGGCTACGGATGAGGTAGGAGGAGGAGGCGGAGGGGGAAGAAGAGGAGGAGGAGGAGGAAGAGGGGAAAGAGAACGAGAAGGAGGAGGAAGAGGGGGAGGAAGGATTTGAAGCAGGACGGATGAGGAGAAGGATGACGACGACGAGCAGGAGGAGGAGAGAGAATGACGCCCGTCCTGGAGCCTCTTGGTGTCGCCTTGGCTCTCCTAGAGCGTGCTGGGGGGCCTGTGGCCTGTTTGGGCTCTTCGGGGCCTCTTGGGGCCTCTTGAGGCCTCCTAGGCCCTCTGGAGCTCCCTGAGTGTACTTCAAAGTGGGTCTTCCGGTGGGCTCTTGAGATTTCGCGGGCTCTCCCGGGGCCGCCATGGGACCTCCTGGAGCCTCCGTGGGCCCTCTAAGAACTCTCTCGCGGGGGTGGAATGATGAAAACAATGTCACGCATGGGGGCCTTTCCGTTGAGAAGGGGGGCGCGGTGCAGAGTGGATCCTCCTGGGGCCCTCCGGAGATCTCCTAGGCGCTCCCGAGGCCGCCATGGGCCCTCCTGGAGCCTCTGGGGGCCTCCAAGAAGCCTCTCACAGGGGCTGAGAAATGACGACAGTTTCACGGATGGGAGCCTTTTCCGTTGAGACGGGCAGCGCGGTGAAAGGTAATAAGGTGACGACAGTGTCGCACTTGAGGCCCCAAATCGTCCCTGGGCACCTCGGGCGCGAATCCCGCTCCCCCATAGCACAATGCGATTTCCCTCCCCCCGCTGTCCCGCCGGACCCCGGGAGGGTGATTTTTGTAGTTTTCGCTTGTACGAAACACTCCCCCCCCTCTCGACGGTGACGGAAGGCAGGCGGCGGGGGTGGGCGGGTTGGCGGGGTGGCGGGTTGGCTGGGGTTGCGGGGTGGCTGGTTGGGCTGGTTGAGCCGGTTGAGTTGTTTGGGTCGCTGGTTGATTGGACTGGCTGGTTGGGCTGGCTAGGGCAATTGGTTTCGATTGGTCTTTCGCCGCCTTCCTCATGTCCTTGTGCCTCCTGCTTCCTGCCCCTTTCCCTCTTCCGCCCGTCTCGCCTGCTCTTGTGATCTGCCCCCCCTCCAGGACTCGTGCGCTTAGACCAGTGGCCGAATGCCCCTTTCGTCGTCGTCGTCGCTGGCGTCGCTGCAAAAAAATGCGCGCTCTGGGGCGGACGCGCGCCTCCGTGGGCACTCGAGCGAAAAAGCAAATACAGCGTCTTACTCACGACAATATAGCGACTTTGCGCGGTGGCTCGCGCGGGCTGCCAGCCTGGCAACCTCCGTGGAGGAAAAACTGCAGACCCGCGAAACGAAGCGGGAAACCTACGCAGAAATACCCGCGCAGTCCGCAGTCGATCTGTTTAGCTGCGTCGATCAGTTGGCCCAGGCCACGCTTCGGAGTGAAACTTATAATCGGCGTCGATTGAAAAACTGAGAATGGAGGCCTCAAGTCGCGCGCGGCCAATGCCCCTGGTTGATGCGTGAGAGAGAAGCGCAGCGGCTGCAGGCCACGCGCCCAAGATCCATGGCCACGGATGGGCCGACGCGGCCAGGGTGCAAGGATCGCGTTGGCGAATCGCGTTTTTCTCTTGCCTCGCTGCTGAAGCGCAGCGAAGCGAAGTCCTGTCGAAGGTGGCCCGCAAGGAGCGGGACCCCACTTGAGACCCTCAGGAGCCGAAGTGCGACGTCGCCGAAAATGAGAAACAAAAATGGCACCATACTTTTCCAATGATCTGCGCCCCAGCGAGAAGTTGCCACCACCCCGCGCCGCGGCCTCCGAGCAATCGCCAGATGGTGTCTTCAAAAGGCATCCATCTGCGACCTGAGGGGCGCGTCGGGCGAAGCGAGCCTCGCTCACCAGCAGCGGCCCGTTAAGAATAATCTCTCCACGATATGGCACCGTTCAACCAGTCGATGGCGATCGCTCGGGCCGCGCGCCCTGCCCGGAGCCATCATCTTCGGAAGTGTCCCGGCTCCCGCTCTGTGAGTCCAGCGTTTTTTTAATGTTTTTTGTTTTTCTTTTGTTTTTTCCCAACCATCCTGTGGTGTTGGGTCCTCGTTTTGAAGAAACGGTCCCCGCGTTCCTTCTCCTCCTCCTCCTCCTCCTCCTCCTCCTCCTCCTTCTCCTCGCCCTCCTCCCTCCAGGGTTCGCATGCCTCCCCACCACCCATTTCGGCACACCCCTCACACGCTTCGTGGCCCCATAGGGAGCTCCACCGAAGGCCCCAGTGGCTGCGTTCGCATGCCTCCCCACCACCCATTTCGGCACACCCCTCACACGTTTCGTGGCCCCATAGGGAGCCCACCGAAGGCCCCAGTGCTGCCGCCCGCATGCGTCCCCACACCCAATTCGGCACACCCCTCACACGTTTCGTGGCCCCATAGGGAGCCCCACCGAAGGCCCCAGTGCTGCCGCCCGCATGCGTCCCGCACACCCAATTCGGCACACCCCTCACACGTTTCGTGGCCCCATAGGGAGCCCCACCGAAGGCCCCAGTGCTGCCGCCCGCATGCGTCCCGCACACCCAATTCGGCACACCCCTCACACGTTTCGTGGCCCCATAGGGAGCCCCACCGAAGGCCCCAGTGCTGCCGCCCGCATGCGTCCCGCACACCCAATTCGGCACACCCCTCACGTTTCGTGGCCCCATAGGGAGCCCCACCGAAGGCCCAGTGCTGCCGCCCGCATGCGTCCGCACACCCAATTCGGCACACCCCTCACACGTTTCGTGGCCCCATAGGGAGCTCCACCGAAGGCCCCAGTGGCGGCGCTCACATGCGCATGCGTCCCGCACACCCATTTCGGCACATCCCTGACAGGTTTCGTGGCCCCATCATCCACCGGAGGCCCCAGTGGCGGCGCTCACATGCGTCACCCACACCCACCCAATTCGGCACACCCCTCACACGTTTCGTGGCCCCATAGGGAGCTCCACCGAAGGCCCCAGCGGCCGCGCTCACATGCGTCCCCGCCACCCATCCCGGCACGCCCCTCACAACAACAGGTTTCGTGGCCCCATAGGGAGCTCCACCGAAGGCCCCAGTGGCACCGCCCGCATGCGTCACCACCCGCACCCAATTCGGCACACCCCTCACACGTTTCGTGGCCCCATAGAGAGCTGCACCGAAGGCCCCAGTGGCGGCGCTCACATGCGTCCCCGCCACACATCCCAGTACACCCCTCACGCGCTTCGTGGCCCCATAGGGAGCTCCACCGAAGGCCCCAGTAGCGGCGCTTACATGCGTCTCCGCCACCCATCCCGCCCCCCCCCCCCGCAGCAGCATCATGTTTCGGGGACCCATAGGGAGCTCCACTGGAGGCCCCAGTGGCGGCCCGCACATGCGCTTCCGCCACCCATGTCGGCACGCCCCGCGCGTGTTTCATGTCCCCATAGGGAGCTTCGCCGAATGCCCCAGTGGCACCCATCTCGGCACACTCCTCACACGTTCCGTACTCCTATGGGGAGTTCCATTGAAGATGAAACCCGCAGCTGCGGTACTGACAACTGCATATGGTTGGGTTCTTCGCCAGGCTATTCCCAACCATCCTGTGGTGTTGGGTCCTCGTTTTGAAGAGACGGTGCCCCGCGTTCCCCTCCTTCCTCCTCCCCCTCCTCCCTCCTCCCCCTCCTTGCCTCTGCTCTCGGCACACCTCTCACGCGTTTCGTAGCCCCATAGGGAGCTCCACCGAAGGCCCCAGTGGGGGTGTTCGCATGCGGTTCCCCCACCCAGGGCAGCGTTTCGTGGCCCCATAGGGAGCTCCACCGAAGGCCCCAGTGGGGGTGTTCGCATGCGGTTCCCCCACCCAGGGCAGCGTTTCGTGGCCCCATAGGGAGCTCCACCGAAGGCCCCAGTGGGGGTGTTCGCATGCGGTTCCCCCACCCAGGGCAGCGTTTCGTAGCCCCATAGGGAGCTCCACCGAAGGCCCCAGTGGGGGTGTTCGCATGCGGTTCCCCCACCCAGGGCAGCGTTTCGTGGCCCCATAGGGAGCTCCACCGAAGGCCCCAGTGGGGGTGTTCGCATGCGGTTCCCCCACCCAGGGCAGCGTTTCGTAGCCCCATAGGGAGCTCCACCGAAGGCCCCAGTGGGGGTGTTCGCATGCGGTTCCCCCACCCAGGGCAGCGTTTCGTGCCCCATAGGGAGCTCCACCGAAGGCCCCAGTGGGGGTGTTCGCATGCGGTTCCCCCACCCAGGGCAGC